ATCAATAATTTTGTAGTTTGAATTTTAGTGACGTCATGTGAAAACCAGCTATACCTTATGGCCATCATTTTTCATGACCAGTGTCCATCCTCCTCCTCCGCATGCGCCAAGGTCGTGACTAGTCATGTGGCAATACACAGGGATCTTTCCACTGTCAGTCTGCAGCACGTAGGCTTTATTTACTCGCAAGCTGATGAACGAAATTAAAATATATCAGATTCTGCAAACAAAGTCGTTGTTCATAAAATCATATCACTTCAGCGTGAATTTATCTTTGGAGTGGTTTGAAGCAAATTTCAAACAAATCACGATCAGATCTCTACGCTTGTTTCAGTTATGCACTGGCTTGGGGAGTATGTTTCTTGTTCCGGCAACAAAACAAAACGCTACATCAATAACAAAACTCAATCGCTCGTTTCAAACAGCGACATACTTTCCTCCAGAAACAGTCTCAGTGCCCCGGTACATCAGTGGGGGTCATCAGTGGTTGTTTTGAAGTAGAACGTGAAAGTACATTTTACCTGTGAACTTACCTGTGTTTGTCATACAATTCCTTACAGGAAGAAGCAGGAACAGCTGTAAAGAAAATTAAACTTGGGTGAAGTGCTCGGTATAAAAAAAATCGAAACAAAAAAACTTCTCAGCAGATCAGTTAGTTCAAGGTCTTCAAGTTTACCTGGCGGGGTAACCAACGCGATAAGCTTTTCCAACTCCGCTTCCAAAGTCTTAATGGCTGTACAGACATCCGTCTCCCCACACGCTCCAGATTCGGCGCCGTGTTTAGCGATCAGAACGAACAAGGTTGCGATAAAACAAGCTGCAGATAAAAAGCGCATTTTGAGCAACCAATGTGGCCAGGTTCACAATTTCTTAATTTTTCTTCATGCAATGTAGGTTACTTTTGGTTCGTGTTTCAGTACGTCTGCCAACTTTTAGTATTCACAGGAATGTAGTGTTCAGTTACCAAATTTCTGTCACACAAAGGTCAAGTCAGGTGTTGTCTTACCACTCTAAATAGCCTGTTTCAGGGCATGTCTGTTAAATTGTGTTTAGTGATTTCCTCTAAGGTAAACAAGCACTCTCCAATGAATAAAGAACCCTTGTTTCATTTAGCTTGTAAGCATGAAGGAATCTTGGCATGGCAAATTGTAGTTAAACCTATGTTAGCCTCCCACGGATACGCTCTCAGTGAAAAGGGCTCGTCACTCGTTACTCCCGGAATAGTCAATCGATAAAAATCGGTGTCGATATCTCAATCAATAAATTGATAAAATTCAGTAAATCTGATTTGATGAACTCCATGCTTCTAATAAATAGAGGATAACACCCCGGGGGATAATACATAGGCGCCGGCGCAGATATGGAATATCCCTTCCAGTGTTCACCTTGATATCTCACGAGTGGGCACAGCAAACGAGTGAGATAAGGAGTTGAACACGAGAAGATATATTCCATGTTACAAGCAACCACATATTACTTTACTATATTGACATACTGATAGCGACGTTTTCGACGATTTTCCGAAGACTCTCCAAAATTGTTCTATGGTCACACGAACGATTTCGAAAGTTTCCAAAGATATCCGAAGATTGCCGAAGACTTTCGAGGAAGATCCGAAGACGTTTCGATCATAGAGAGGAGCGTTGGGATTTTCGGATTTGCGGATTTGGCCAACTTTTGGTTCGGTTTTTCGGTTTTCGCACTTAAAAACTCAGGTTTTTCGGTTTTGGTGTCTTAGAAACGTGTTGGTTACGTAATTCATGCACAGTGTATGAGCGCAAAACAAAAGATTGTGCATGGTAGTGGACCTTGGAACAGAAACCTTGGCATCTTTGATGTTTGCAGGGCTTCATAACCAGTCTCCTCTATTAACTATACTGAAGAAGATTTTGATGCATATCAATAGCTCGATCTGTTAACTGAAATTGTGAAACCTACCACAGATGAAATTTCTGTCGAAATGCAAATAACTCTTGATGGTTAACAGACAAGAAAACTAACTGAGATGAACTAACCCCCAGAACAGCGCATGTAACTTCCATACGATCGAGTTACGCGCGAAATACTTGCACGCGCGAGTGGTTCCAAAGTCCAAAGTAACAAAGTTCTAATGAGCATACGTGTAAACACGTCAAACATCCTAATCCTAACGTGAAATTAACATGGAATTTCCCACCTCCTAAAAGAGTTCATTGTCTTAAAACACCCCCAAGCAAGGTCAAAAGCCAGCTACGCTACGAGAGACTTACAAGCTCTTATTTCCCGTATAGTAGAGCACAGAAAGTCATAAATGTATAGTAATGATAAATAAACGTTGATCGAAAATTTCTCACTGGCCAAAATTCAAAAACTCAGTTTAAGGAGATATTTTAAAAAAATCATGCACTTTTCGCAAACTTCCATAATATTGGCGGCCGTCCGTGTTTTTCTTCCTACCGGAATAAAGATTTTAACCTCTTAATGCGAATTGCGGTGTGATATTTCATTTGTGCACGCGAGCTGTTCTGGCTCGTCTGATGCAGTGTTTCGTCTCGGCCAAGAGACTCTTCAGAGACCTTTAGAATTCATAGGCAAACTCGTTGAGTATCACGCCCAAAGTCCCGTTCGCAAATTCTTGGCCGAACCAAACGCCGCGTCAGACTAGCCACGAACATTTCACAAGTATTTGAAAAAAGAGTATAGTCAAGCTTTCAAGATACTACAAGAATGATTGAGTTTCTACATTTAATTATTTAGGGTATCATGGTAGGTGGATAGGCCCTTGCAGCTGGGGTCACGTGACCAAATTTTCCCTACAAATTTTTTATATTATGGGCTAAAACTTAAAGAATGCCAGAAATAGAAAGAGCGCATCGAAAATACTAAAATGGCCAAAATTGAGGCCCCTGGATTTAAAGAGTTTAAAATCAAACGCGTTGAGTTGTGGGCCAAAAACATGAAAAATTTCGGGAATTACGGACGCTATTTCCCCCGCGCGATATCAAAAATCCTCGCAGCATGTACGCGCGTGTGCCTCAGGCGATGGCGCAATTTGTTCTAAAAATAAAAAAATTGTCCCATATCATGGGGACAGCCCCAATACTAGAAATGGCGCGCGCTTACGGTCTCCGTCCCTGATTATGGCTCCTGTTGGGACTTATGGTTTTCAGGGTGACGGTGGTGACTTGTACACGATTCATACGGTTCATGACATTGGTACATTTGCTTTTTATTGATTTCAGTCGTTTGCTCTTACTTGTGCTATAGCACAATGTGCCTAGAACGCACTCAGAATAAAACAATACGACTTTCGTCATGTTCTTTACCCGGGTTCTTTAACACCGACCGCTAGACAGTATGTGTACACTTTATTTGTTGTTCTTATAAACCGCTTTTAATTTCACCAGACTCAAGCTGACATTTATTGAAAATTTGTTTTGAACGTCCCACCTGGGAGGGCCTTTTAAAAACTGTTTTGATCTTGTTTGGCCATCTTAACTACTGCGAGCCGAAGAACGTGCACGTCTATGGTTTATTTTATCATCTTCTTAACCTTGAATCCCGGGGGAGGTTCTCCCACGTATTGGCTATATAGGTATGTGCTGCGGGATAGGGTATGGTGTTTCAGGTTCTCGGTCCTTAATTAGAGTATATTTTTTTAACTCTAGGCCTGTTGGCATTGTGTTCCTGACGTGATCCTTAGATAGGGTACCTAAGTTGTATCAGCTCAAATTGCAGTGTATAAATGCCCAGCTAAATGAAAAACAAATTCTATGCTCGATACTCAACTTACAATGTTATAAACGAAATAAAGTCGACCCGTTCACGCCATTCTTAGTTTTTGTTTTTCCCTTGAACAGAGTGTCATTTCTCGGGTTTGTGCCTTAAATTTGTGTTTACTTCATCCTTAAATATAGGGTTAGGGTTTAAGACCCTTCGTGGCACACACTTCATGTAGCGGAAATTTACGGGAGT